ACGCAGACAAAACTTAAATGATTGTTTTTGGTCCCCAGAAACAAAGAGAGAGCGTCATCTGTCATCTACAGTCTCTCTCCCTAAAACCTTCAAACAAGGTCAGAAATCTAGGGATAATACTGGACGCAGCTTTTTACCACCTAAAAAACATTGCCAGGATCAAAAACATAGTGTCTAAAGCAGACTTGGAGATTCTTATCCATGCATTTGTCTCCAGTCGGTTAGACTATTGCAATGGCCTGCTCACAGGTCTGTCCAAACAGGCTGTAAAACAGCTGCAGTACATTCAAAATGCAGCAGCTCGAGTCCTGACTAGAACCAAGAAGTACGACCACATTAGTCCAGTCCTCAGGTCTCTGCACTGGCTTCCTGTGGCTCAGAGAATAGACTTTAAAACAGCTCTGCTTGTGTATAAGTCTCTCCATGGCCTCGCACCAAAATATATTAGTGACATGTTAGTGCCATATGAACCAGCCCGGACTCTGAGGAGCACAGGGACTGGACTCCTGTTAGTGCCCAGAGTCAGGACTAAACATTGGGAGGCTGCTTTTCAGATTCATGCTGCTAAAATCTGGAACAATCTTCCTGAAGATGTGTGACAGGTCTCCTCTCTGACAATGTTTAAAACCAGGTTAATGTGGTCTCTCTCTGGTCTCTCTCTCTCTCTCTTGTCTCTCTCTGGTCTCTCTCTGGTCTCTCTCTTGTCTCTCTCTGGTCTCCCTCTGGTCTCTCTCTGGTCTCTCTCTAGTCTCTCTCTGGTCTCTCTCTGGTCTCTCTCTGGTCTCTCTCTGGTCTCTCTCTGGTCTCTCTAGTCTCTCTCTCTGGTCTCTATATAGTCTCTCTGGTCTCTCTAGTCTCTCTCTCTGGTCTCTCTAGTCAAAATGTCAAATAATGACTCACAGAGGCACATTTTTACAAGAATTCAAAAAAGAAGAAGAAGAAGATGAAGGCAGTATACGTGCTCTGACTACTTATAGAAGACAAAAAGTTACCTCAGCTGGCAAGAAAATCCTGATGGTCAACGATGGTGGAAGTTACCATGGTAACCAGGGAAAACCATCTGCAGCACCTTGGCAACCAGAGGCAGACTCCCGAGCATCTCTGTCACTGATGCAGGTGAGGGAGAGAAACTGTTGTGTAGGTTTCTGTTTGTTTTCATAAAAAGGCGAGAGGCGAGATACACCTTTAAAATCACTCGTCAATCTACGTCTGAATGCTTTTTTTGCGCTTCAGGATCCGGAATGGAAAAGGACACATCATTTTTCTTTCATAAAATACTCAAAATACTCTCTGGTCTCTCTCTGGTCTCTCTGGTCTCTCTCTAGTCTCTCTCTGGTCTCTCTGGTCTCTCTCTGGTCTCTCTCTAGTCTCTCTCTGGTCTCTCTCCATCCTCTCTCTTGCCTCTCTCTGGTCTCTCTCTGGCATCTCTCTGGTCTCTCTCTCTGGTCTCTCTCAGGTCTCTCTCTGGTCTGTCTCGTGTCTCTCTCTGGTCTCTAGTCTCTCTCTGGTCTCTCTCTGGTCTCTCTTTGGCCTCTCTCTGGCCTCTCTCTCTCTGGTCTCTCTCTGGCCTCTCTCTCTCTGGTCTCTCTCTCTCTGGTCTCTCTCTCTGGCCTCTCTCTGGCCTCTCTCTGGTCTCTCTCTGGCCTCTCTCTGGTCTCTCTCTGGTCTCTCTCTGTCCTCTGTCTGGCCTCTCTCTGGTCTCTCTGGCCTCTCTCTGGTCTCTCTCTGGTCTCTCTCTGGCCTCTCTCTGGTCTCTCTCTCTGGTCGCTTGCTCTGGTCTCTCTGGCCTCTCTCTGGTCTCTCTCTGGTCTCTCTCTCTGGTCTCTCTCTGGTCTCTCTCTGGTCTGTCTCGTGTCTCTCTCTGGTCTCTCTCTAGTCTCTCTCTGGTCTCTCTCTGGTCTCTCTCTGGTCTCTCTTTGGCCTCTCTCTGGCCTCTCTCTCTCTGGTCTCTCTCTGGCCTCTCTCTCTCTGGTCTCTCTGGTCTCTCTGGTCTCTCTCTGGTCTCTCTCTGGTCTCTCTCTGGCCTCTCTCTGGTCTCTCTCTGGTCTCTCTCTGGTCTCTCTCTGGCCTCTCTCTGGTCTCTCTGGTCTCTCTCTGGTCTCTCTCTGGTCTCTCTCTGGCCTCTCTCTGGTCTCTCTCTCTGGTCGCTTGCTCTGGTCTCTCTGGCCTCTCTCTGGTCTCTCTCTAGCCTCTCTCTGGTCTCTATCTGGTCTCTCTCTGGTCTCTCTGGTCTCTCTCTGGTCTCTCTGGTCTCTCTCTAGTCTCTCTCTGGTCTCTCTCTAGCCTCTCTCTGGCCTCTCTCTGGTCTCTCTCTGGCATCTCTCTGGTCTCTCTCTGGTCTCTCTCGGGTCTCTCTTTGGTCTCTCTCTGGTCTCTCTCTGGCCTGTCTCTGGTCTTTCTCTCTGGTATCTCTCTGGTCTCTCTCTGGTCTCTCTCTCTCTGGTCTCTCTCTCTGGCCTCTCTCTGGCCTCTCTCTGGTCTCTCTCTGGTCTCTCTCTGGTCTCTCTCTCTCTGGCCTCTCTCTGGCCTCTCTCTGGCCTCTCTCTGGCCTCTCTCTGGTCTCTCTCTCTGGTCTCTTTCTCTAGTCTCTCTGGCCTCTCTCTGGTCTCTCTCTCTGGCCTCTCTCTGGCCTCTCTCTGGTCTCTCTCTGGCCTCTCTCTGGTCTCTCTCTGGCCTCTCTCTGGTCTCTCTCTGGCCTCTCTCTGGTCACTCTCTGGTCTCTCTCTGGTCTCTCTCTCTGGTTCAGGATAGCAGTGCCGGTTTCACTTTCTGCAGATTACAACTACTAAAATGGTGCTGCTCTCATTACAAATCAACATCTGTACGTCCACACTTCTGTATAGACTTCAGATAAAACCCAATCATGACATGCATTTCTACACAATAAAACAAACATCTCTAAATGTGGACATTAAACAACCCCACCCCCATGAGCTGCATGAACACTCACATGCTCAGCTTCTGATTGGACGCTCCAAAAATTGATTTTCAAGTGTGTCAATGTTGAATTCCACACTCCCTCCCACTCCACTGGGCCTATAGACTCAGAGCTCATGCACACACCTACACACGCTTCATCATCACATTGCAGGCATGCTTTAAAAACGTGCAGTCCACATGAGCGCGCAAGTGGTTTATGTTTCAATAGGAAACAGGGGTATCGAGTGTTTTGAGGCACCGAAGGCAGACAATTACAAAGCATCCTGTCTAGGTTCTACATCCTTGGGTTCTACATCCTTAATTCCTGGAGCAATAGACACTCAAAGCGGTTTACAATTGTGGGCATTTGTCTCTCACTCCACACAGAGATGGAAGCGGGGTCAGCACTAGATCATATACGGAATCGGGGCGGAAGCGGAAGTGAATATAACAAACTACCTATTCATGCCTAAACTTAACCAGCCATTCTCATAGAATAACCCCAACCCACCCTTAACCCTAACCTTAACCATCTTACTCAGACCCACCTTAACCCTAACCTTAACCATCTTACTCAGACCCACCTTAACCCGAACCTTAACCATCTTACTCAGACCCACCTTAACCCTAACCTTAACCATCTGACTCAGACCCACCTTAACCCTAACCTCAACCATCTTACTCAGACCACCTTAACCCTAACCTCAACCATCTTACTCAGACACCTAAAACTTAACCAGTCACCACTCAAGGACTTATTAGTCTAAAACTAATTTGAAAGTAGGATTGTTAGTTCCGCTTTCGTCCCGATTCTGTAAATGATCTAGTGCCGACCATTGGAGCAGGGCCAGTACAGGAGGAGCATGCCAGATCTATTGTACATGTTTTTAGTGGTAGGGGAAACCGGAGTACCTGGAGGAAAACTACGCAGACACGGGGAGAACATGAAAACTTCACTGAGAAAGACCCTGTTCCGACCGGGATTTGAACCCAGGACCTTCTTGTTGAGAAGCGGGAGGGCTAAACAATTACAAGGCTTCCTGTGTGGCAGCCGTTAGGTCTAGGTTCTACATCGTTAATTCCTGGGCCGATAGACACTTGGAAGTCCTGTAAGAGGCTACTTACTTATTAAGTCATGGACCTACAGTTTTATTATGAAACTTCGCCCCAGCTTCCTTTGGCTCATTTCCACTTTCAGGATCTAAGCTTGTTTTGTTTTCTGATCAAATGTTCTTTTTCATGATTAACAATGGGATTATAAAATGTGGTAAACAGTGAAATATTGCTTTCAATCAAAACAATGTGGCTCATCTGGGGGAACATAACAGTCTTTCATTTTGATATTGTTTGAAATGTGTAAGTTAAAGTATTTTCGGACACTAGGTGGCAGTGTTGTGTCTGATAGATCCATGCATGCAGTAAACGGGGTTCAAAGATGCGTGTGTTTGATTTCTATTTTATTAAATCATTACGTGTTTTTTTTCTATTAAGCTACAGTATTAAAGAAAGAAGACACATACACGAGGAGACTGGAGCATATGAGTTTGAAGTTGTACTCTCTCTGTTTTCTCTCTCTCTGCTCTCTCTTTCCCCCTCTCTCTGTATTCTCCCTCTCTCTTTTCTCTCTGCTCTCTTTCTCTCTCTCTCCCCCTCCCTCCCTCTCTTCCTCTCTCGCTCTCCCCCTCCCTCTCTCCCTCTCTTCCTCACTTTCTCTCTCCACCTCCCTCTCTCTCTCTCTCTCTCTCTCTCTCTCTCCCCCCTCCCTCCGCCTCTCTACCTCTCCCCCCCCCCCCTCCCTCTCACTCCCTCTCTCTCTCTCGTCTCATGGAGGTGACCGGTCGCTCCCTCGATTCATTCTCTCAGCCGCGCTCGTCTGAAACGCACTTCAATCACAACACAACGCTACAATTCCACACTTGTTTTCTTTGCTGGACTATCTTCTTTCTTTGGAGGCCGCCGTGGTGCAGTGTAAAAGGATCTAGTGTTGAAGGAGTTATTTTTAGTCTGTCACCGCCACAAGAGCGATGCGTGCGCGGTGAGGACGCGATGGTGGAGCAGCCCAAGCACCGCGCTCTGCAGGAATGAAGTCACGCAGAGACAAACTCAAGATCCCTTCCCTCACTCTGGAGTAAGTTTACTTTTATTCTCAAGCTCACATGCTCCATTTGTCAAACATTTACTCCACAATCAGCCTGCGTTTGGAGCGCCTTTTCACGGGATTTGTTTTTGGCGTCAACTCACGACTGTCAAGTGGCAGAACTCCGCTACTACTCTGAGAGCGGAGTGTCACGGAGGCTTTAGTGTGGCATCTGCAACACCCTTCACACAGAAAAACTATTATTATTATTGTTAAACTTTATTACATACACGACGTCCAAAATAAATTGTAATCTATGTCTGATAATGTGGGTAATGTCTCCATCTACTTTTATTTTAATGTTTTACAACAACCTGCTCAGGGACTACAGGTGTGTTAGCACTGCTGCTACAACCTGGAATAATGCATCTCTCCTTTTGGCTAATGTTTTTTGTACACTGTCCCTGTAAAAATAAAAAAAACATACCATACCATGAGAAAGACATCACACAAAAACAAAAACAAGATTAAGAGATCCTTTATTTGTCCCACAAAAAAAGATCTGGCTTTAGAAAAAAATAAATATTTGGTGAAGAGCAAATTGTAAGCCTTTCATTTTTTGTTCTAATAAGTTTTGGCAAATTGACTATTGAAATAGATACAAATGAAACAGGTAAAAAATACCAGTAGTAACAGGATTCAGCTGTTGGAACTGTAAAAATGTTTTTCTTTTCTGCTTAATATTCCTCAGTTAAATGGCTTTATGTAGGTCTTTGAGCAGTAATGGACTTCATCCTTAACAACGCACTTGTCCATTGTTGTTTAAGATTTGCTACACTTTAGTCAACCCAGACCCAGTTGGAGGTGAAAGCTGATTCCCTGGTTTATTCCCTGTCATAGTGGCTCTATTGAAACCGGTCTCTGGCCTTCCTCAGTCTCTTCTTCAGGGCCTCATCTTTAGTATGTGTTTTTAATGTGGCCAGTGCACGTGTTGTCTGGGGGAGCGGACACACTTGCAGTCCTCCCACTCCTTCCTTTGTTTGTGTTTTAGAAGGATCTTTGTGGATGCTGCTGCTCATCAGAGCCAGATGGATGTTTCCAAATGCCTCGTATTTGACTTTTATGAAGTATCTCTACGTCCAGTCATTGGGAGAGGGTTAGCCCCCGCCTGGAAGTTAGACAGAATTAGAATCAAATATTTAAAACACATACTTTTGCAAGGTATACATAATTCTTATTTCATCATTTTCAACCATTTTGTTTGTTTTATGCAAAAAAAATTCTTCCAGTAGATAGAACTATCAACGTTTTTCCAACATCATAGTGTACTATTTTTATCTGTCTATAGTCTAGTATAGTGCACGAGTGTCAAAGTCAAGGCCCGGGGGCAAGATATTTGATTAGTATTAGAACTGGCCGCACAGAGACATAAGGAAAATATTGGAGAAAATATATCATTTGCAGAACATGTATTTTCTCTTTGAAGGAAGTTTGGTTTTGACTGACAGAGCACCACAAAAAATATTTTGCATCATTTTAATATGTTTTAATAAACTTTGAACTAGTCCGGCTCTCGGCTTGTAGCAAATAGTTTTTTTTAGCCTCTGATGTATTTGACTTTGACATAGAGTATAGAGATTTTAAATAAACTACATGTAGCCAATGTAAAAATAAAAAATAAACTGAGAAACTAAGCTGAGAACATAGACGCCAGTGAAATATTCATAGGTGATAACAGCCTGCTGCGAGCCTGAGTCACTCAAATGTTTACCCACTTGACACTGAGCGTGGAGTTCCCATGAAGTGTCAACAAATTAAAAATGTAAAATGAAAATCCTGAGTTTCATGTCACGCTGTCGGCTTTAGTTTGGAGTTTGAAAAGGAAATGTGTCAAGACGAGAGGTGTAATGAGCTGGGTTTGCCTGAAAGAGAGGGCTTTGTGCAGCAAGCAGTTGTTTTCCCATCATCCTCCCTGCATCGCTATGACAACACCTTCATTAGCACGTTAGCGATGTGTTTTAGCATGAGGATATTCTGCAGGGCTCAGACAATAGCTGCACTGTGAAGCTCTGACCGCATCTGACCAGGAAATCAATAGAACACATGTACTGAGCTGGGTCAGCAACTTCCTCCTATTCATGAGCCGCTGGGCTGAGCTGACCAGGCATATTTCCCTGCTTTGCATTTCATTAGGACAGGTATTTATAACACACTTAAAGGCGAGTTAGCGATGTTGTTAGCTTAGCGTAGTACCAACTGGAAACCTCTCCCCCCTCCCTTTGCCTCTCCACCAAACCAAACATCCAGTACCTTTAATTTGTCACAACAGGGAGAGTGGGCGGCAAACTTGAAATTGGCATTTTCTGTTCAGCCCTTTAAGGTTTTAGAAAATCCGATAACTCTGGTGCGCGCACTCCATGGATCTATAATTATAGGGTAACTGGATATAACTGGATAGGGTATTACTAGCTTATAGCTGTCCCACCCATGGGCACAGGGGGCGCCTGTGGTACTGCAGACTAAATTCACGCCGGCTGCCCAGAAATTTTCCCCATAGATCTCAATGTAAACTAAAACAGCTCGACCTCAGCTGACAGAGAACCTACAGCTTTCATAAAGATCAGATTTTGTGGGGATTTTTGTGTCTCATGTCAATTTGATTTTTTTTTTCTCCTTAAATGCTTTGGTTTTCTTTAAATCCACACTTTACTGCCACAAACTCTGTCCTTTTCCTTCCCGCTCTGACTCCACTCTGCTGCTGCTCTGATCAGCAGCTCTGATTGATCTGAAGCGCGGCCGAGCCCCTCTGTGCACGTGCATGAGAGCCACACACGCGTATTTGGAGCAAAGCATCATGGGAGATAATCCACTGCACAGAACCGGGAGGACCAAATATAGGCGGGTTCCGCAGATACTATGTCAGCGCCCGCAATGTCCCATGCGCTACGGAGCAAAAGCCATTCATTTGAATAGGGCGCCTCTCTCTGCTCTCTCTCTCTGCCCTCTCTCTCCTTTCTCTCTCTGGTCTCTCTCTGGTCTCTCTCTGTTCTCTCTCTCTGGTCTCTCTCTGGTCTCTCTCTCTGGTCTCTCTCTGGTCTCTCTCTGGTCTCTCTCTGGTCTCTCTCTGGTCTCTCTCTGCTCTCTCTCTTGAAGAAGCTGGAACATGGATTCATATGGATGATTAACTTCATTGGAAAACTGTCCCACCATATCTACACTCTTCCCAGTTACTATAGTTACATGTCTTTGGGTTAAAACAAAATCTGTTGTAGTTCTGCTTTGAGCCAATTGTTTTTAGCGCCACCGAAGCAAATATTTTTACAACCAATGTGTTCTTAACGTGTAAAAGTATAATAGATAATGTAAGGCTAGTTTCATACGAGTTTGTGTTGCCTTTCAGTTTGTCCCCCACCTGTCAGAGCCCCACCCTCCTGAGCCCATGCAGCCCTTGCAGCCCCTGCAGCCCTTTACAAACCCTTCATCCATGGAGGTAAGTGTGACATCACCTCCAGAAGATGTTTAACAATTACAGTATTATATAGGAAGATCTTTGTTTACACCTGCGTGCACATGCGCCCCTCGCTGGGTGGCAAAAAGACAGAGCGGCACATACTGAAGCAGGGATGCGACGAGTACCGGACGCATTTACCGTTTACCGTAGGTAACAGCATAAGACTCAGTAGGCGAATAGCACTGTATAGAAGCACTATAACGCAAGAAGATCAGAGGAGATATAAAGACAAGCTAAAAGTAAGTATTGACCCCTTGCATGTGACGTCACGGCCACGCCCACTCTCCATGACAGACGGCAGAAGTCTAACTGGAGCCTACGGACACCTGACCAAAATAACCTGTTTCAGCGCATTACAGCCAAAACTGTGACATTTTGCAGTGCGGTTGATTATACTAACAGGCACGGACATAAGCTTTTTTATCTGATACCTGCTCGTCATGAAGACAGAAGACGACGATGGCCAGCGGCAATCAACCAAAAGGACTGGGACCCATCCAAGTACTCCCTAATATGCAGTGAACACTTTTTACAAGATAAAGCCATCACAAGTTTGTATTTATTTTATTTCCATTAATGTGGAGGACAATGACACACGTCAAACGTGTCTCTTACTACTGTCCTGTATGTGCGCTGCAACATTGACATTTTTATCTTTTAAGTCAATTGCGTGTTTCACTATTTTCCTCTCTGTCAGTACGTATCATGTTTGGCTGTAGACAGAAAAGCCACAGAAAAGTGGACTATTGTTATGCTACCAGCATAATGTACATTTAAATCTGCTCCAGTGTGAGGGGATGCATTGTTAACGATAATGATAAAGATCATGTAGGGTGAATTTGGGCAAAAATAGACATTTTATTTAATCGATAAAATTGACGGGGGGGAGAAGGTACGGTCAACATCCAGTTAGGCAATCCTTAACTTCTCCAAATACCACTCTTTGTGAGCCCTGACCTGATGTCCTACTTCCACCTATAACGTAATCGAACATGTGCTTGAAGCAGCCACTTCTCGATTTAGGAGAGGAAGCTCCGTTTTTAAGAGTTGTGTCCGTTTTGCTCTCGCAGCAATGCTAGTTTCCAATACTTCCGCCGTAAGCTCATTCACAATCACGTGACTTGATGACGTTGATCCATCTGGTCAATATGAGACCGAACTGAACAAATCCAAAGCCCATATGAGACCTGGGATGACGAGAACAAACATTGGTCAGACTCACCTCTGTTTTGGCACTGATCTGCTGCGAGACATGTATTCTTACTTCATAGAAAACCCAGGAACATTCACGCAAGAAGAGTCCACGGTGAAAATTCATTTCACACGTTTTTCACCGAGGTAAAGTGGCCGGGCATTTCGCCGTCACGGTAAAGTGGTCCACACATTAAAAGCGGGTTGCCCCGAACAGGAAGCCGTGGGGATGAGCAACCAAAATGCAATGCATTTGTTTACAAATTTTTATCCCCTCCTCCCCCCCGGCTTCCCATTCTACGTTTTCCGTAAGTAACAACATATAATGGCATTTTACCCCGCCCGTTTTTTGCTGTACTTTTCCGAAAGAATTAGATTTTTTTTTTTTATCTGTCCGCAGCGGGCCGTACAACCGACCACACAACAGGAACGGACCATTTGATTTAGTAAAACGTCTCTCCAAACGTCTAAAAATAGCTAACTCTCTAGCATCCATGTAGCTTTCTATGCTGCACACACAGTTCACTTTGGAGAGACCCAAGAGGGAAAATGCAGTTAGAAGTTTGTTGATTGAGTATGTTTGGCGCCCTAGGCCCGGGAGAGATGCTGTTGAGTGCGGCGCTTGCTCACGCGCATAATCCCCCCCGGGGCCTAGGCACTGGTGACGGCAGAGGCAGTAGGCAAGCACGCTTCGATGAGAGAAGGAGGAGGTGGGGCGGCGGAGGCTTTGCAAACTTCAGAAGGCCGGGAAAGTGGGCGTCTCCGGCTTTTAACTTGCTGTCCTGGTGGTTATTGGTGGATTAGATGTGGGCGTTTTGCTGGTGTAATGAGTAGAGGATGAGCAGGCTTGTAGATCTGGCAGCAGTGGCCGGGTCTACCACAGTGAACTTTCGCGAAGAGCTTCATTTCACTTTGGAGAGACCCAAGAGGGAAAATGCAGTTAGAAGTTTGTTGGTTGAGTATGTTTGGCGCCCTAGGCCCGGGAGAGATGCTGTTGAGTGCGGCGCTTGCTCACGCGCATAATCCCCAAAAACGGGCAGAGTTATCTTTGCGCGCCGGGACGTGAGCGCTCGCTTCACGATCAACCGGACGCTGCCTGGGACGTGAGCGCTCGCATCACGATCGATACCAGACGCTGTAGCAGAGTTGTCTTTAAGCGCCGGGACGTGAGCGCTCGCATCACGATCGATACCAGACGCTGCAGTGGAGTTATCTTTAAGCGCCGGGACGTGAGCGCTCGCTTCACGATCAACCGGACGCTGCCTGGGACGTGAGCGCTCGCATCACGATCGATACCAGACGCTGTAGCAGAGTTATCTTTGAGCGCCGGGACGTGAGCGCTCGCATCACGATCAACCGGACGCTGTCTGGGACGTGAGCGCTCGCATCACGATCGGTACCACACGCTGCGGTGGAGTATCTTTAAGCGCCGGGACGTGAGCGCTCGCATCACGATCAACCGGACGCTGCCTGGGACGTGAGCGCTTGCATCACGATCGATACCAGACGCTGAAGCAGAGTTGACTTTAAGCGCCGGGATGTGAGCGCACGCATCACAATCAACCGGACGCTGCCTGGGACGTGAGCGCTTGCATCACGATCGATACCAGACGCTGAAGCAGAGTTATCTCTGAGCGCCGGGACGTGAGCGCTGGCATCACGATCAACCGGACGCTGCCTGGGACGTGAGCGCTTGCATCACGATCGATACCAGACGTTGCAGCAGAGTTGTCTTTAAGCGCCGGGACGTGAGCGCTCGCATCACGATCAACCGGACGCTGCAACAGAGTTATCTTTGAGAAAGTGCGTGCCGCCACCAGAATCTTTATTGGATCACTTACTTTGCTTTGTATTGCTTTGCTGGGAGCTTACGAAGAAGCCAGTAGCCGTTGTGCAGCCAGGATGGCGGACGCGTCTGGCCTGATGTAGGCGGAGAAGGCCGAAGAGGAACAGCTGCCCCAGCTGTTGCAGAGAGGTGTGGGGGAGCCCCAGCGAGGCCGCGCGCGTGGCAGCGCCTATCCTGAAGGAGTGGGCTGTGTAGAGCTGGGGAGACAATTTACAGAGGAGCAGTAGGGATCTTAGTTGAGCTCTGAACCAGGTTGCTGTCATGGGAAGAATGTCTGGAGTGAGAAAGAGAGGTCCGTTAAAATCTCCTTTTTTGCAGCGGAGGCGAGTGTAACGCATCATGGATATGTAGGGGCAGAAAGATGTGTCCGAGCGAGCTATTTCTATATTGCAGGCTCCTTTGATCTTTGAATGTTTGAGATGAAGGTTGAAATGGTCAGGGGACATTATGTTGGGTGAAAAAGAGCGACTTTTGTTTAATGCTTCCACTACGTCGAGATTATCACACATGACAGAGATCCTCTTTCTCTGCCACGTGTGATTCCACAGCGCGCAGGCCACGACCACTGGGAATATCTCGTGTAGGGCAGAGGAGATGCTCCGGTGGAAAGTAGCGGCCACGCTCGGCAAACCAATGGTCCTGGAAGAATCCCCCAAAACCCACGGAAGGGGCAGCGTCCGTGTAGAAGCGGAGACCTGTAGGGGCAGAGACATATCGGAGAGGGCCATTGATGTTGCAGGCGCCCTTACGCTTAGAATCTTGGGTTGGAGAGTAGATAATCAGGATAGTAGGATGGTCGGGAAAGCCGTGTCTCGGACCGCATGAAGGTTGAGTGAGCAATGGTGAGACGCTTATGCAGAGAAGCCATAGAAGGAGAGCAGGAAGATGCTGCGAGGAGGGCAGACATGTACTTGGAAGATGAGCCGGAGTTCAGCGCCGCTGCAGGATGGGCAGCATGATGGGGAGCCTGCGATCAGAAGAGTGAAGAATACAGGTATGGATGCCTTTGATTAGGAGTTACTAGCTACTTGGCCAGCTGCATCTGATAGATCAGAAGATTAAGTAGAGAGATTAAGCACGACCGCCGAAGCGACCCTGGGAGCGAGTCCAGCGCAGCGCGGCATACTCAGCCGGGCTGCATCCATTAGAAGCGGGATCAGCTTCTGAGAGAGTGGGTTGCAGCAGTAGCAGTAGCGGCAGCAGCAGTAACCTCAGATAATAACAGCAATAGTCCTGTATCAAGCCGCGGCAGCAGCAGTAGCAGCAGCAGCAGCAGCAGCAGCAGCAGCAGCGTCCTTAGAAAATAACAGTAATAATTCTGTATCTAAGCCACAGCAGTAGAATGTTGTTGTAGCTGTTCAGTGTTTCAGTAAAAGAGATGCAAGTGAAGAGAGATGTCAAAGTAAATGAAGCAGCAGCAGCAGTAGCAGCAGTAGCTGTATGAAGCAGCAGCAGTAGCAGTAGCAGTATGAAGCAGCAGCAGTAGCAGTATGAAGCAGCAGCAGCAGCAGCAGCAGCTGCAGCATCCGTAGATAATAACAGCAATAATCCTGTATCAAAGCCAGAGCAGTAGAATATTGTTGTAGCTGTTTAGTGTTTCAGTAAAAGAGATGCGAAGTGAAGAGAGATGTCAAAGTACATGAAGCAGCAGCAGCACGGCAGCAGATGCAGTATGAAGCAGCAGCGGCAGCAGTAGCAGCAGTAACGGTAGCAGTATGAAGCAGCAGCAGCAGCATTAGCAGGAGCAGCAGCAGCAGTATGAAGCAGCAGCAGTAGCAGCGGTTGCAGCATCCGTAGATAATAACAGCAATAATCCCGTATCAAAGCCACAGCAGTAGAATATTGTTGAAGCTGTTTAGTGTTTCAGTAAAAGAGATGCGAAGTGAAGAGAGGTGTCAAAGTAAAGAAGCAGCAGCAGCACGGCAGCAGTAGCAGTATGAAG